CAAGAAGAGTTAACTCAGCTCTGGATCAAGCAGACCTGATATCTACAGAACTCTCCACCAAAAAACAGCAGAATATTCATTCTCCTCCTCACCCTATAGCACTTACCCAAAACTTGTTCATATAATTAGAAGTAAAACACTCCCTAGCAAATGCAAAAGAACCGAAATCATAGGAAACCATCTCTCAGATGACAGTGCAACCAAATTAGAACTCAAGATTAAGAAATTCACTCAAAACTACACATGTACATAGAAATTGAACAACCTGCTCCTGAATTACTTGTGGATAAATAATGAAATTAAGGCAGAAGTCAAGAAGTGATTTGAAATTAATGAGAACAAACAGACAGTGTACCAGAATCTCTGGGACACAGCTAAAGCAGTGTTAAGAGGGAAATTTGTAATCCTAAATGCCCAGATCAATAAGCTAGAAAGATCTCAAGGTGGCCAGGCACGGTGGCTCATGCCTGTAATCCCAGCACTTTGGGAGGCCGAGGTGGGCAGATCACAAGGTCAGGAGATAGAGACCATCCTGGCTAACAAGGTGAAACCCTGTCTTTACTAAAAATACAAAAATTAGCTGGGCATGGTGGTGGGCACCTGTAGTCCCAGCTACTTGGGAGCCTGAGGCAGGAGAATGGCGTGAACCCAGGAGGCAGAGCTTGCAGTGAGCCGCGATTGTGCCACTACACTCCAGCCTGGGCAACAGAATGAGACTCCATCTCAAAAAAAAAAAAAAAAATATCTCAAGGTAACAACCTAACATCACAACTAAAAGAACTAGAGAACCAAGAGCAAACAAACCCCAAGGCAAGAAATAGCCAAGATCAGAGTGGAACCCAAGGAGATACAGACACACACACAAAACCCTTCAAAAAATCAACACATTCAGGAGCTGTTTTTTTGAAAAAAAAAAAAAAATTAATAAAATGATCTGCTAGCTAGACTAATAGAAAAGAGAGAAGAATCAAATAACACAATCAGAAATGATAAGGGGGATATCACCACTGACCCCACAGAAATACATACAACCATCAGAGAATACTATAAATACCTCTATATGCATAAACTAGAAGATCTAGAAAAACATGGATAAACTTCTGGACACATACATCTTCCCAAGACTGAACCAAGAAGAAATCGAATCCCTTAATAGACCAATAATGAGTTCTAAAGTTGAGGTGGTAATAAATAGCCTACCAACCACAAAAGACCCAGGACCAGACAGATTTACAGCTGAAATCTGCCAGAGGTACAAAGAAGAGTGGGTACCATTTCTACTGAAACTATTCCAAAAAATTGAAAAGGAGGAACTCCTCCTTAACTTATTGTATGAGACCAGCATCATCCTGATACCAAAACCTGGCAGAGATACAACAACAAAAAAAGAAAACTTCAGGCCAATATCCCTGACAAACATCGATACAAAAATCCTCGGTAAAATACTGGCAAACTGAATCTAGCAGCATGTCAAAAAGCGTATCCACCACCATCAAGTGGGTTTCATCCCTGGGCTGCAAGGTTGGTTCAACATTTGCAAATCAATAAATGTGATCCATCACATAAACAGAACTACAGACATGATCTACAAACAGAACTACCACATGATCTCAATAGATGCAGAAAAGGCCCTTCATAAAATTCAGCATCCCTTCAAGGTAAAAGCTCTCAATAAACTACTGCCCAAAGTAATTTATAGATTCAATGCTATCCCCATTAAACTACCATTGACATTCTTCACAGAATTAGAAAAAAATCTATTTTAAAATTCATATGGAATTGAAAAAGAGCCGAATAGCCAAGACAATCTTAAGCAAAAAGGTCAAAGCTAGAGGCCTCATGCTACCTGACTTCAAACTGTATTACAAAGCTACCATAACCAAAACAGCATGGTACTGGTACAAAAGCAGACACATAGACCAGTGGAATTGAATAGAGAACTCAGAAATAAGACTGCACACCTACAACAATCTGATCTTCAACAAACCTGACAAAAGCAAGCAATGGGGAAAGGATTCCCTATTTAATAAATGGTGCTGGGCGAACTGGCTAGTCAAATGCAGAAAATTGAAAGTGGACCCCTTCCTTACACTTTATACAAAAATTAACTCAAGATGGAGACTTAAATGTAAAACCCACAACTATAAAAACCCTAGAAGAAAATCTAGGCAATACCATTCAGGACATAGGCAACGGCAAAGATTTCATGACAAAAACGCCAAAAGCAATAGCAATGAAAGCAAAAATTGACAAATGGGATGCAGTGAAACTAAAGAGCTTCTGCACAGCAAAAGAAACTATCATCAGAGTGAACAGACAACCTAGAGAATGGGAGAAAGTGTTTACAGTCTATCTGCCTGACAAAGGTCTAATATCCAGCGTCTACAAGGAACCTAAACAAATTTACAAGACAGACAAAAAAAAAATTAAAAAGTGGACAAAGGACATGAACAAACTCTTCTCAAAAGAAGACATACATGTGGTTAACAAACGTGAAAAAAAAGTTCAGCATCACTGATCATTAGAAAAATGCAAATCAGAACCACTGTGAGGTACCATCTCATGCCAGTCAGAATGGCGATTATTAAAAAGTCAGAAAAACAACAGATGCTGGTGAGGTTGCAGAGAAAAAGGAACGCTTTTCCACCATTGGTGGGAGGGCAAGTTAGTTCAACCGTTGTGGAAAACAGTGTGGTGATTTCTTAAAGATCTAGAGGCAGAAATACCATCTGACCCAGCAGTTCCATTGTTGGGTATATACCCAAAGGAATATAAATCATTCTCATATAAAGACACATGAATGTGTATGTTCATTGCAGCACTATTCACAATAGCAAAGACATGGAATCAACCCAAATGCCCATCAGTGATAGATTGAATAAAGAAAATGTCCTACATACACACCATGGAATACTGTGCAGCCATAAAAAGGAACGAGATCATGTCCTTTGCAGGGACATGGATGGAGATGGAAGCCGTTATCCTTGGCAAACAGAAAGCCAAGCACCACATGGCCTCACTTATAAGTGGGAGCTGAACAATGGGAACACATGGATACTTGGTGGGGAACAGCACACACTGGGGCCTGTTGGGGACTTGGGGGGATGAGGGAGAGCATCGGGAAGAATAGCTGATGTGTGCTGGGCTAGGTGATGGGATGATCTGTGCAGCAGACCACCATGGTACACATTAACCTATGTAACAAACCTACACATCCTGCACGTGTACCCCTGAACTTAAAAGTTGAAGGAAAAAAAGCCATTGTTAATGAGGCAGATGACTCTAGAGGCAACATTTTGCAAAACCATCCAACAGAATGCCTCCTCATCCCTAAAGGACCCAGTTCCTCATCCCTCAATTGCTTTTCATGTTTCTTCTCACCGGAAAAAAACAAACAAAAAACAGTAGACAATAACCTTTGCATCAAAACACAGCACGGTAGTTAGAGACAGAAAGCCTGCCATTGTCTGTCGCTGTTAGACTGCTGAGACAGGTATTCTGGTGATGCTACTGTGCTGCTTAGTTACCTGAACACATTATTTTTTTTTTAACTGTTTTAATGGCATACCATGTTTTTAACTGTTGAGTACAGGTGTAAGAAAATGATAGCCTATCGTAGTATATGAATTCAGAGTCAGGAATAATGGTGATGCAAACAACCACAGATTGTCCATGTGGGTGGCTGAGATAGTGACACCTTTGCTTTCTGATGGTTCCATGTATACAAACTATTTCATGCGCAGAATTATTACAAATATTGTATAAAATGACCTCCAGGCTATAAGTATAAGGTGCATATGAAAGATAAATGAATTTCACGTTTAGACTTGGTTCTATCTATCCCCAAGATATTTCATTGTACATTTGCAAATCTTCCAAAATCTGAAAAAAACCCAAAACACTTCTGGTCTCAAGCATTTCAGATAAGGGATATTCAATCTGTATGGCTAAATTCTACCAAGCCCAAAAGAAGAGATTATTCTTGTATTACACAAACAGCTAAAGGAGATAGAAAAAGATTAAATACTACCCAACTAACTTAATGATGTTAGTATAACCTTGATTCTAAAAGTGAAAAGGGTAGTACAAGGAAAAGGTTAATCCATTTTATTTATAAACACAGATGCAAAAAAATGTAATAACCTAATTAAATCCAACATTGCATTGCATTACATTTATTTGTTTGTTTGCTTGTTGAGACAGAGTGTTGCTCTGTCACCCAGGCTGGAGTGCAGTGGCACGATCTTGGCTCTCTGCCACCTCTGTCTCCCAGGTTCAAGCGATTCTCCTGCCTCAGCCTCTTGAGTAGCTGGGACTACAGGCACGCACCACCATACCTGGCTAATATTTTTGTATTTTTTAGTAGAGACAGGGTTTCACCATGTTGGCCAGGCTGGTCTTGAACTCCTGGCCTCAGGTGATCCGCCAGCTTTGGCCTCCCAAAGTGCTGGGATTACAGGTGTGAGCCACCACGCCCAGCCCCAAGATTGCATTTAAATGTACTGAATAAACAGTTTTTATCTAGTAATTAACTTGAAAACCTAATTTAGACTAGTTTCATCACAGTTCTAATTTTTAAAACATCTTCAGCCGGGCATAGTGGCTCACTCCTGTAATTCCAACACTTTGGGAGGCTGAGGCAGGTGGATCACCTGAGTCAGGAGTTCGAGACCAGCCTGGCCAACATGATAAAACACCATCTCTACTAAAAGTACAAAAAAATTAGCTGGGTGTGGTGGCACACACCTGTAATCCCAGCTACTCCGGAGGCTGAGGCAGGAGAATCACTTGAACCTGGAGGGTGGAGGTTGTGGTGAACTGAGATCGCACCACTGCACTCCAGCCTGGGTGACAGAGAGAGACTCCGTCTCAAAATAAATAAATAAATAAAATAAAAATAAAATAAAACATTTTCATCAACCTCTGGTAATCTACAGAAAACTTAATATTATCATGAAATCAAACACAATAGCACTTCTAAGATGTGTCTTACAAAACAGATGCCGACGTCAGTGGCTCAGGCAGTTGTCCAGAAGGAAAATGGCCTTCAGCACACCCGAAAGATGCTGCATGTCGGTGACCTAAGTGTGAAAAAGACAGCCATCTCGCTGCTAAGAAATCTGTCCCGGAATCTTTCTCTGCAGAATGAAATTGGTGAGTCGGTATAAGTATCTATGTGTAATATGTACATGCTGAAGATACAATGCAATGAAATGTTGTCTGTATCCCCTCCCGTTCACAATGATGCACTGGAAATGGGAGTAAGGAGTAGGTGATAAACTGGCCTGCCTTTTCTGCCGCCAGATATCACAAAGAGGCTTTCTCGGTGGATCTCACCAGAGATTTTTTTAAATACCCAACATTTTTTTAAAAATTACTACAAAAGAAAAATTTTAGAGCATACTAATAATTAACAACATAAGTAATACTGTTGATATTTTTCACTGGGTGGCACCCTCAGTCACACCATCCAATGAAGTCTTTCTAATCCATATAGTTGTCTTTCAGAATGTTCTCTCGGTGGCTCTCTTAAGCACCATAATTCTAGAACATTTGAAAAACACATGTAGTGGTAGTTTACTTTAGTAGTCTGGCAGTGTGTTGGACATAAAAAAAAATGGATAAGCAGATAATCACAATAGAAAGACAAAAAAGGAGTCACTGAGTATAGCAAATTTGGCATCTTTTTTTGGGTAACTGCGATGAGACATATTTTGCCTTTGACTGTATTATTGACAGGGATGATAATGGTGTTACATTATCAAATAACATAATTTTTTATTTATTTGCTTATACCAAGAAGTATGTGATAAATGTTTGTTGTATCAAGTAGAAAATTACAAAATGAGATGATAGAAAGATAATGCTAAAATTAAACATGCTTCGTAATGCTCTATAAATAGGTCGTTTCTAACAACTCAAACTCAGTTTTTCACAACATTTCACAAAAAATATAAACAATATTTTGCTTGTTTTAATGGATTAGATTTTTAAATATGCACACAGATAGCCCCAGAGATATTGAAGGCTGCAGTTATGTTTTAGTAATGTCATTTTCAAAGCCAGCCAGCCGCACATTTGACAGGAGGTTTTATACAATGGTTTCATGCTCATTATGAGTAGAGACAACCTGGAACATTCTCAGTGAATCTGAAAGAGACCTTGCCATAGGCACTCTCAAAATTATTAAAATGCTCTCCCCGTGGTCTTTTGTGCTGAACTTCAATAGAGGTGTATTATCCTTCCCTTTTTTGTTCTTTTCCCAAATGAAAAATTGACTCCATCTTTAAAACACCGCCAAGGTAAACAATGGCACTGTACACATTAAGCATGTACCTTCAGGGCAGGAATGCTGTTGGCCTCAGGCTCTGCAGTCCCCTAAATATTGGGAAGGTATAGCCGTAGCCACCTGGTTTATAGTAGATGATTCTGTTGATACACTTCACTTTAAGGATAACAGAGAGAAGAGGCTTCAGCAAGATAAATGCAATTTTAAAATTCCAAATTGGCTTCATGTCAAATATATAAGTAAAAGGACTTCTCTTAATTCAGAATTTTAATAGCCAGACATAAGTGAAAATCATCTTGAATACATGCTTTGTGTTTCTCACCAGAGCTTTCTAAGCCAGGTAACTTTCCCTGTTCTCACCTGAAATAAGTTGTTACGTTTTACTTACATCTAGAGAAATAAACTTGAAACTTACATTTTCTCAAAAACTTAAAGACAGGCAATGGGGCATGGTAACAGAATAACAGATTTCACACAGAAGACATGGGTGTGTATCTCACAGTGCTACTTTGCCAGTCAAGGCTTTCATTCTGTAGTTTAACTTATTAAAAGGAGGAAGCCTTCTGATAATAGCATCCATTGAGAGCTTACCACATGCGCAGTACTATAATACACTTAACATGCATTGATTCATTCCCTCAAAATAACCCTGTGACATAGACATTATTATCTCACATTGCAACTTAGGGAAAAACAAATAGAGACGTTAAATAGCTTGCTCAGGCCATAGAGCCATAAAGTAGCAGAACCAGGACTGAAACTAAAGCCCTCTGGCTTTAGATGAACACTGAGCTCTCCACAGTATGCTGTGTGCTTGAACCACAGTCAAAAAGAAAGAGTTCAGGCCTGTGAGCAGAAGGTATGTCTTACCTGTCAATCAGGTCCAGGTATTATGATGACATATCATTCAGTGCCTTTTATTGAGTACTTGTCCATTTCAGGAATGATGATCAATGCTGGAAACATAGAAATAAGTAAGATAATTGGCTTCAAGGAACCCACAGCCTCATTTGAGGTTGAGACAGTCACACAATTCATTACAATCCAGTATCACAGAGAGAGAAATGTGCTTCAAGATGCCACGTGAACACAGATGAAGGCACACAATAAAATTAGGCAGTATTTGTTAATTCCTGATCAATGCAACACATATTCGGGAACTGTGGGGATCAGCAAAAGCAAAAGATGCATTCTCTCTATCTTTTAAGAAGAGTCTAAAGTGGTTAGAGGAAAAAGAGGAAAACATACATGAAAATAACTATTACAAAAAGTTTAAGCACAAGTTCGCATTGACCAAAATATGTACCATAGGACAAGTTCCAGTGGACTTGTCAAATAGTAATACCTTTTTAAATTGTCCAATAAGTTTTTGGGTACAGGTGGTTTTTGGTTACATGGATAAGTTATTTAGTGATGATTTCTGAGATGTTGGTGCACCTGTCACCTGAGGAGTGCACATTGTGCCCAATGTGTAGTCTTTTATCCCTCACCCCTTCCTACCTTTCCCCAAGTCCCCAAAATCCACTATATCACTTATTCCTTTGCATCCTCATAGCTTAGCTCCCACTTATAAGTGAGAACATACAATATTTGGTTTTCCATTCCTGAGTTATTTCACTTAGAATAGTGGTCTCTAATTTCATCCAATTGAGCCGCAAAGGCCATTATGTCTGTCTTTTTAATGGCTGAGTAGTGTTCCATGGTGTATGTATACCACATTTTCTGTATCCACTTGTTGGTTGATGGGCATTTAGGTTGGCTCCATATTTTGCAATTGTGAATTGTGCTGCTATAAACATGCATGTACAAGTGTCTTTTTCATATAATGACTTCTTTTACTTTGGGTAGATACCCAGTAGTGGAATTGCTGGATCAAATGGTAGTTCTACTTTAGTTCCTTAAGGCATCTCCATGCTGTTTTCTATAGTGGTTGTACTAGTTTACATTCCTACCAGCAGTGTAGAAGTGTTCCCTTTTCACCACATCCATGCCAACATCTATTATATTTTGATTTTTAAATTATGGTCATTCTTGCAGGAGTAAGGTGGTATCTCATTGTGCTTTTAATTTGCATTTCCATGGTAATTAGTAATGTTGAGCATTTTTTTCATGTTTGTTTGAAGCTTATCAAAAAAATTTTCATATGCCATTTGTATATCTTCTTTTGAGAATTGTCTATTCATGTCCTTAGCCCACTTTTTGATGAAATTATTTGGCTTTTTTCTTGCTGATTTGAGTTCCTTGTAGATTCTGGATATTAGTCCTTTGTCGAATGCAGTTTGTGAATATTTTCTCCCACTCTGTGGGGTATCTGTTTACTCTGCTGATTATTTCTTTTGCTGTGCAGAAGCTTTTTAGTTTAATTGAATCCCATTTACTTATTTTGCGTTGTGTTGCGTTTGTTTTTGGGTTCTTGGTCATGAACTCTTTGCCTAAGCCAATGTCTAGAAGAGATTTTCCATGATTATCTTCTGGAATTTTTATGGTTTCAGGTCTCAGATTTAAGTCTTTGATCCATCTTGAGTTGGTTTTTGAGTGAAAGATGATGATCCAGCTTTATTCTTTTACATGTGGCTTGCCAATTATCCCAGCACCATTTGTTGAATATGTTGAATAAGGTGGCCTTTCCCCACTCTGTGTTTTTGTTTGCTTTGTCAAAGATCAGTTGGCTGTAAGTATTTGGCTTTATTTCTGGGTTCTCTATTCTGTTCCATTGGTCTATGTGTCTTTTTTATTTTCTGTAGCCTAATTGTGAAAGTGACGTGTCTATTTTTTTTAATACTTTTCTTATTAGTACAAAAAGAAAGCCAAACTCAAACTTACAACCAAGAAGTTATATACATAGTAGAAAAGTACCTTTAAAATAGTTTATTTCTCTTTTTAGAATGGTAGTATTACTTATGTATTGAAAAAAACCTTGGGAAGCAAAGATTATTCATGTATTATTTATTCTCTTATTTAATTGTACTTTTTAAAATAGAGACAGGGTCTCATTATATTTTCCAGACTGGTCTCAAACTCCTGGGCTCAAGTGATCCACCTGCCTCGGTCTTTTAAAGTGCTGGGATTACAGACATAAGCCACTGTGCCTGGCCTCAGAAATGATTTTAGTTTGGCCGGGCACAGTGGCTCACGCCTGTAATCCCAGCACTTTGGGAGGCCGAGGCAGGCAGATCACGAGGTCAGGAGATCAAGACCATCCT